TTTTGTTTGGTCTTGCCATCTGTGATCAGTGTGTCGCTCTTCATTATTCTGCAGTTAATGAAGAATTGCTAATACTATTTAACACCCTAGCCGTTATTTGCAAGATTTCTGCAAAAATTAAAAAAGTCCTCAGCCATTGGGGCTGCTATACCTGGGATTTCAGCAGCCATTGAGCCAAGCTTCATAACCTGTTGTGGTTCGCTGGCAGCCTATGCAGACAGCAGCGGAATTGAACAGTGGGGAAGAACGGGGACCAGTCCAGGAGTCTGGGGAGGACTCGGATGAGGGTCATGCATCCGATGCAGAGATGGGCCAGGACAATCTGGGAGTGGGGTGCTGACTCTGGAGTCTTCAGAGTCTGGCAGCAGCAAGGCAGAGGAGCAAGGGGAGCCTGTTCTCAGTGCACGTGTGCACAGAGCTGCTAGAAGGCAACATCGGCTGAGACAAAAGGGGAGACTCGAGAGTAAGGCTTGGAGGTGATTGCCCCTCCCCTAAGGTATAAAGGAGGTGCAAAGGTAGAGAAACCTTTGCAGGAAGCAAAGTCATTCGCTCTGCTTGGATTAAACCTTGAAGCTCTGTGTGGACTTTATACTTCGGCTGTTTTTTTTACAGTTAATTTGGCACGTTAGTTGTTGGTAGCAATTCAAAGGAGAGAAAAGTGGGTGCTTATCTCAAGGAACAGTTTGGCATTCATTACCAGCTGGGAATGCACATAATTCCCAGCGTTGAAATAAAACAAGAGTTATTTGGACTAAGCCTTGGTCAGAGCATAACCTTCCTGCCACCATCCCAGTCACTTCCTTAGCTGCAGGCCTAGAAGTGAAGGATTGTCGCCTATCGCTTCAGAGAGCCGGCTGCCCACATGTCAGAGAGGAGGATGGTGAACAGATCACAGAACTTCATTCATTCCCCAGGACTGAATAAGTCCAGCCTCCACCCAGACTTCAAAAGTTGGCCTTAAAATAGTGGTCACCACTGAGATGTCCCTCTCAGATTCTAATAATTCTTCAACCCCACCCTAAGCCGTGAAGCAAGGGGTCCCCTACAGCAGGACAATTTGTGTATGTGTGTGTGTATACATATATAGTGGCTTCCATCTTTTCCAATCCTCTCAAATACTTCCAGCAAAAGGAGGTGATAACAGAATAACAGAGTTTTTTGGGAGGACCTTTGAGATCTCTTTGTCCAAGCCCCTGCACAAGCAGGAGGCCCCTATTCCATTCCGTCCAAACTCTTCTTAAAAAACCCCAGTGATGGAGCAGCCACAACTTCTGGAAGCAAAGTGTTTCATTCATTAATTGTTCTCACTGTCAGGAAATAAAATAGAATATAGAATATAGAATATAGAATAGAATAGAATAGAATAGGACAGAATAGGACAGAATAGGACAGAATAATAGAATAGAACAGAACAGAACAGAATATAGAATAGAATATAGAATAGAAAATATGGAATGTCGAATAGAATAGAATAGAATAGAATAGAATAGAATAGAATAGAATAGAATAGAAAATATGGAATGGAATATAGAATATAGAATAGAATAGAATTCAATTCTTTATTGGCCAAGTGTGATGGAAGAAGCGGGTGGGGTGGGGGGTCAAGCTATTTTCCAAAGTCCCCAAAGGCAGGACAAGAAGAGACGGGTGGGAACTAATCCAGGAGAGATCCATTCTATTTTACTCTACTCTACTCTACTCTACTCTACTCTACTCTACTCTACTCTACTCTACTCTACTCTACTCTACTCTACTCTACTCCTTAGATTTGGAAGACTGCTATCATGTCACCCTGAGTCTTTCTTTTCACCAGACTAAACATACCCAGTGCGCTATTTGTCTGGATCTCTACTGGATCCCAGGAGGCTTTAAAAAAAAAAAAGAAGAAAGATTGGAGAACTTTTGGTTACACTTGGCTAAGTGCACGCCAGAGGAGAGAGCTCAAACTATATTTGTGGGTTCTTGGGTGCTAACACTTTGACCATCTACTGGGTTTTATATTGAAAATCACAAATGGTGTTGGTGTGGCATTCTGTTTTACACAGGTTAAACACATCCTTTTAGTGAACCTCTGTGTGCTCAGTATCAATGGAAAGTTTTTTTAAACTGCAGAGTTTAGAAGATGGAAAGGCACCCCAAAAAATCAAATGCACCTCCTTGCTGAAGTTCTGAATAACTGGTACTTTGTCCACTGGGATCCCAAAACACAGAATTATCTCCTGAAACGTGGCGGTGTTTAACAGTACACAGGGAACAATTCTTGCAAAACGTTTGTTCTTCTTTTTGGGTCCCGAGTTGGAGTTGTATAATAGCCGTTTTCACCATCTTTCAAATGTGATGTAAGACTTTAGTATTAGGCCAAGCCTTTAATGGCCAGGAGATAAGCAAGAGTTTATTTCAGCCTGTGTGTTTTGTCCTTGTTGATAGGACAGGGTATAAATCAAGTGTGTTAGCACTCAATATACAAGGGATATAAGTGAGCACAGCCCACCAATCTGGAAAGATAAGGTCAGCCAGCTGAATTCTGGGTGCTTATAGAAGTGAGCAGCGTACAGATTTTGTGTCAGTGTCAAATACTAGTTATCATCCACAATCACCCATAAAAAACCATGAAAACATGATTTGAAGCTTAAGATTAATTAGCTGTTCAAAAGAAGCAGCAAAAAGTCAAACTATTGAAAGCATGTTTGTTAAATCACTGTTTATTAAAAGGAATAAAAATCAACACTTTATTTTATTTGCTGATTAGTTTTGGTTTTTCATTTTGGGGGCTTGTTAGGCCTCCAAGCCACCTGCTTATTTTTATTCCTAATTTTCAACATTATTTTCACCTTCCCATAAGGGCTGATATGTTCCAAAAATGCTTTTTGTATATGCTAAACCTTGGCTGCTTATAAATTGGGAACACACCCAAACGCACGTGTGCATGCTTTTCAAATATAACAGTTTTTGTAATAAATAAATAAATAATAGCCAGCTAGCTAATATCTCTCAGTGTTGACGTGAAAGTACAATACTTTGCTACTGAATATTTTTCCAGCTGTTTTTCAAATAGTGAGGTGGAGCCTAAAGGTTTTTTTTTTTAATTTGTGTTTTGTTTTTTATTGAGCAAACAAAACTTCAAAGCAAAATGGGAAAATTAAGTGCCCAGACAGACACAAACATTAACAGTTGCATAGAAATATGAATATGTATCTAAATATAATAAACAATTGGCATGTATGATTCTACCTGGAGTGAAGCATTTTTTAGAATGGCAATGGAACAATATGAACAAATGTTGAGACTCTAGAAAGAGCGCAGAGAAGAGCAACAAAGATGATGAAGGGGACTGGAGGCTAAAACATATAAAGGCTGGTTGCTGAAATTGGGTATGTCTGGTTTGATGAAAAGAAGGACTAGGGGAGACATGAGAGCAATGTTCCAACATCCCAGGGGCTGCCCCAAAGAAGAGGGAGTCAAGCTATTCTCCAAAGCACATGAAGGCAGGTCAAGAAACAATGGATGGAAACTCATCAAGGAGAGAAGCGACTTAGAACAAGGAGACATTTCCTCATAGTAAGAGCAATCAACCAATGGAACAACTTGCCTTCAGAAATTGTGGGGGCTCCATTACTGGAGGCTTGCAAAAAGCGATTCACATGAAATGGTTCCCCACCACCCAGTCAGAGCTGAATAAGCTTCTTGGATGGGAAGCGAAACATCTCCCACCCACCCACCCCAAAAACCCAAGAAAGTCCAGTTGCCTCTTGAAAAATGCACCTTTGGGACACTCATGTGAAATGGGACAGGGTCTCCAACTCTATTATTCTCTGTTCTCGTGTTTTTGTGCACTCCGTAGCCCTGTGAATAGGGCTAGATTTGGGCATTCTTAAGGGTAGCTGGTCCAAGCAATCATCAGATAAATTGGCTTATTCCTTGTGTCAGGAAGGTATTTGGTTTCTTGATTACTAAAGTCATGGATGTGTGAAAAGTAGGCCATAGGTTGAAGGCCATGTGCCCCTTCCATGTGCAAATTAGGCGTGCAGACGCCGCTGAGCCTTCCCGGTAATTTGCTGCCCTGTTAAATGGCTACGAAGCAGTCCTTAAACTCCAAAGTCCTTGGTTCCTGCCCAAATTGAGATTGAATTATTTATGGCAGAAGCAGCTATCAGTAGTAATTACAGCACATCCTTGCACAAATCCAGATTTTTATTTCAAGAATGAGGCCAGGCTGACAGGGCTCAGGGGTCAGACTCACTCAGACAAGAGGCCAAAAAGAAAAAGAAAAAAGAAAAAAAAAGGCAAAATCCATATCTGAACACAGAATCTATATTGTCCACATTAATTCTTTTAGGTATTCCAGTGGCTGCTTATTCCTTGTAGACCACATTTGCCTCTTGTTAAAATGGTTGAAGAAATCGGATCGGCTGCAACTTTTTAATACGGTCATTTTTGCCTTCTTTAATCCAATAGGATGATTTGAAGCAGAAGTGCAGCTTAATTCCCCATACCCCTTATTTGTTTTGTGGGCCTAAACATGGAGTTTTAAAACACGTCGTTTTTAATAAATGCATTTTTATTTTGAATGTGGATTAGCATGAGATGACATAAAACTTCAGAGTTTTCAAAGGCTCTTGCAAAAGATGTGTTCTCTTTAATGAAAGTCTTCACTCAGTTTTGAGTTTGTTAGCATGGTAGAATAAGTGGTCACGAACCTTTGAAAATCCTTTCCCCCCCCTCATTTAGAGAAAGACCCGTTTGAGGTGCATTGATTGTGTACATAGAAGCCTGTAAGTTCATTTCTGTCCTTTGCAGCTGGTATAAATTCAATCAGCAAGTAACTAGTTATAAAATACAAGGGCTGTTTTAGTTCGTCTTGTCTATATATATTTATTTTAAGGTCTTGTTATGCATTAGCCATGTGGAATGTTTATTTTTTTAACCTTTCAGTTTTGTTTTTAGTCGATAGTATTTATCTATCTATTGAAAAATTTCGTTTCATTTCTTTTTCAGAAGAAAAACTGGAAGAATTAAATTTTTGATTCAGCTGACGGCCAAACTGCTCAGATTTCTCTGAAGAGTCCGGCTTGAAAGCTTATCAAGAGCTGAACAATTTGCCAAACCTGACAGTGCAGAAAAGACTTTAATTACAAGCCATGATCAGTTCAAAAGTTTCCATCAGCTTGCTGGGGTTCTACACATTCCTTGTTTTTCAAGGTAAAGTCGCACTTTTAAAACTTCAGGTTTTACGAAACGGTCTTGATGCCTGAAAAGTTTACGTACAATAGAGACACTATTGTGTTTGGGTTGCAGTTTGAAATACAGTGATAAGCTCCTGCAAGCTTCCAAACTTTTAATGTTCTTTTTTTAAAAAAACTAAAAGCTACAAAATAATATAGGAATCTGGCATGAGAGCTGACGCCTGCTAGCCTGTGTTTAAAAAATTATTTTTATATACGTATTTATATTGTTTAGCTGGAGCTTTGAGATCAAATTAGTTTAATTGGCATGTGCTTCTTAATTAGATATAAAATTAGGAATTTCCGTTGCCATAAATACAGGAAATGTGAAGTAGAATTTGTGAAAATGGGTGATGAACAGGAAAACAGCAGTAAGGATTTTTTTTGTTATTTAAAACAAAATTACTGCTAGACTTTCATTTCTTAACATTTATGGAGAATTTTTAAGAAATAATATGTTGGTTGTCTTGCTTTTAAATACATATGCAAATAAAAAGTTACAGCCATGCTCCCAATGAAGTCCTGGCAATATACACTATGAAATTTAGAATAAAGCACAGAATACTTAACATCATAATATCTTAAAATGCCAGGACTACATTAGCATATGTGTCTCCCCATGATAAGATCTAACTTTTGAGCCGTTGTGAAGAGTCTGAGAAAGGAACAGAACAGAGGCTGGACCTTAAAGCATTCAAGAGCTAGCAGGGAAGGCTACTGACAAATTCACTTTATAAATAGCAGTTTTCCGTCCAGGTGCCCAGAAATCTGGGGTGGAAAAAATCTTAATGAAGTCCCTATAAGTGAGGGTTGAAACGTCCCACTGCACTTTCCAAGATTCTGTACAGAGAGTTCTCAACTTACAAAAGTTCGTTAAGTAGCCATTCAAAATTACAGTGGCACCGAAAAAAGTGAGTTATGACCGTTTTTCACACTTACAACCATTGCAGCATTCCCCGTGATCATGTGATCGAAACATGGGATGCTGCTCATTTGTCAATATTTAGGTATACTTAAGTCTCCCATAGCTGTCTGGTAGTGGACTCATTGGAGCTGCGTGCTACTTAAATATGCACTAACTTCACTTGACTTTTGATATCTTTGCGATTTATATTGACTGTTTCCTAGTATGATTTGATTGCCTATTGTATGACTATTATTAAGTGTTGGACTTTATGATTCTTGACGAATGTATCTTTTCTTTTATGTACACTGAGAATATTTGCACCAAGACAAATTCCTTGTGTAGCCAACCCCACTTGGCCAATAAAGAATTCTATTCTGTTCTGTTCTGTTCTATTCTATTCTATTCTGTTGTATATCGTTTTAACAGGAATACCAAAGTTATTTGTAACATATTAATTCTGGTTTCTTTCCTGGCTGTTTCCACGCATGTATGCCTGTGTGATGTTTATGGTTTGTGTCAGCCCATTTAAGTGCTTCTTTTGCCATTTCTTGTTATTTGTTTTCAGTCGGGGCGATTTAATGATTTCCCTGGTTTTCAGTCGTGGCAGTTATTGGGAAATCAAGAACAATGTTTAGAAACTTATGAGCCCTATTGATCCCAAATCCATTTGAAGTACTAAATTATTGCAGCTGATTTTCTTATCAACAAACATTGAGACAGGAAGAGGAAAATGCAAACAATACAACAGAATAGAACGGGAACAGATCTTGAGGGTCATCTAGTCCAGCCCCCTGCCCAAGCAGGAGAACCTATACCATTTCAGATAAGTGACTGCCCAGTCTCTTTTTAAAAACCTCCAGCGATGGAGCGCCCATGATTTCTGAAGACAAGCTGTTCACTGGTTAACTTAAGCACCCCTGTTCTAAAGTGACAAGTCATTGAATCAGTGCTTTGACTCCAAAGGAAAACGTATATAGTAATATAAAGGAGAGGAGAATATGTTTTATATTATAGATTTGTCCATTTGTAGAAATAGTGGTGGTAATTTAGAGCTAAGGACTCCAGTTTCTTTCAAATATGCTTTATTTTCAACCTTGGTATCTTCAAGCTTTGCTGGCTAGGGAATTCTGGGAGTTGAAGTCAGGGGTGGGATTCTACAGGTTCGCACCTATTCTCTAGAACTGGTTGTTAACATTCTAAGCAGTTTGGAGAACCAGTTGTTAGAAGAAATTACTGGCCTAATCCTGTAAGGAAGGCAGGAAGGAAACATTCTGGTGTTGCTTACAGAAACTGCCTCTCCGTTAACTCTTATTACATTCTTGGCAGGACTAGACTTCCTGTCTCAGGAACATCTCTGGAGTTTTTTCCCCCCTCCTTTGCTGGTACTTTGCTTGTGTGGAGTGACCATTCAAAGTTACAATGGCACTGAAAAAAGTGACTTATGATCATTTTTCACACTTACGACTGTTGCAGCATCCCCACAGTCATGAGAGGCCAGGCGAGGAGATGTGTGCCTCGATGTGAGTGATGCTGAGTGGGCCACGCCCAGCCAGTCACATGACCACCAAGCCTTGCCCACCAACTAAGCCACGCCCACAGAACCAGTTGTTAAACGATTTGAATCCCAGCCCTGGTTGAAGTCCACCCATTTTGAAGTTGACATGGTTGAGAAGTACAGTTTTATTCCATGCACCGAAAACAATGAAAACCTTTTATCTTTACTGCATTTTAAATTGGAAACTCAACATGCGCTTGTTTGTTTGACATATGGAGAAAATGTCCCTAGACTGAACTTTGCTCTGAAACTAGACTTTGCCTGTTTAATATTTGTACAGGCATTGAGATTTATTTTTTGCATTCTGGCTTCTGCCCTTGGGATGCAGGGGAGATGTTTTTAGGCAAGAAAAAATGAAATTGCTGGACCAGAGTCCTTTGCCCTTGCCATAAACTTTTCAAAATAGTCTTGTCGCGTTCTGTTATAAAATTAGGTACAGAACGAAATGTAGGTGCTTCTCATTCCACATTGTGCCCGTGGTTACTAGTTTGTCTCAAAGAACATCAGAGTCACACATCTATTACTTAGACATCCCTGATCATAATCTGTCAGTAGCACTGAGTACTATGCAAAGCCCCATCTGTGACACAGCTGATAAAATGAAAGTGTTCTTTCTTTCTTTCTTTCTTTCTTTCTTTCTTTCTTTCTTTCTTTC